ACTATCTGCATATATTACCTTTACACAAAGAGCTCTGGCCTACAGAAAGACACAAATACAGGCTCTTCTCTCTTTCCAGGAGAAACAACAAAAGGAGAATAAAATAAAACGGCAATGGGAGTGAAGGAAAGTGAAAGAAAACAAAAAGAAAGGACAGAATTAAAGAGATAAGACGAGAGCCAAAACAAACTGTAAAGAATATTGCACAAAATACATCAAATATCCTACCACCATCAATTGGGTAACCATTCTATTGTCATCATTATTTTGCCTCCTTGCATCCACCATGAGGATAAATCAAAAGAAGCTAAAAATGATTATTTGCAATTCAACAACTGATTTGATTCCAAAAATCAGATTCAAGTTAATGTAAACTAAACCAGAATTTATAGTGGGAAGGGAGGGGAAGTTTGCAAATGTACAGTTTGCAAATGTAAACATTAGTTTACTCACACCCATCGAAGCATTTCGTTTTTAAACCCAAGGGCTTAACTTTGTTTCAATGACTAATGTATAATGATTTCCCTTCTCAAATAATAAGAAATAATAAGCAAGGAAATTTATCTGCTAAACTAGTTTAGTTTATAAATGTCAAGCCTCATTGTTCACCATGTAGAAACTATTCATATTTCTTTTCACAGGACAACACTTTTAATTATTGTCCCAATTCTAATTTTTTTACTTCTCAGTCTCCAGCCCTATTCTGCCAGCAACAAACTGAAAAAATAGGTCTTCTCCCCTGCCCTCCATTAAATACAATATTTTAGATGACATATGTTTCAAGAAGAAATAAATCTCACTGAAGAAGAAATAAAGCTCACTGAATAAATATGCATAATGACATATTCTGTGCACATCTACTCAGAAGCTTACTCATGATTATTCCCATTCCCGAGCAATTAATAAATCACACATTCAGTGAAAGTAGCTTTTGGTGCAAAAAATCTCTGCAACTACTAGAGAACCACTGAGGAATAGCTCTTAAGTATAACCAGAAGGGAATGTATATTTAGCAGCATTTATATTGGGTTACAACAATCCAGAAATCATAGTTTTGGGAACAGTACGTTCTTAGGCCGCAAAACTTTAGTCTATTTGCAGGCCCCACTTTAAAAATGCAGCACCCTGCATGCAGCCAGTCATATTTCACTTTTGTTGTCAAGACTACTTCATTCTCAAACATGCACTGTTTGTTTAGAATCCCTTGCTTGGCAGTTTGTGAGGTTAAAACAGGCTTAGTACTGCAGAAACTGGCCACTGATAAGCCTTACATCAAACTTAGGCCCCATCACTAGAGCTGTGGCTACAGTCGTTCTCAATCCAATATTCCCTAAACTGGGAAGGGGGAAAAAATGTTTCATTTCTAAATTCAGCCACACTCCAGTTGTATTTATTCACTGCAAATATATATAAAGCATTTTATCCCATACCATGCTCAATGATGAGTCTCACACTTCTCTGGTTTCCCTATAATTGTGCAGTCTGTTTTACAAGTGGCAGAAAGTCTCAGGATAGAATTTTTAAAATGAATTCTATTCCACAAAAACGCTGTTCCCTGAAAGGTGTCTAACTACCTGACATTTGTATTACTTACTATGCATGACGTTGTCCCATTCTGGGTTGTTTACTACACCCTGTTGGAAATAGGATATGGGTTCTTAATCCAACGAGCAATGGTTGTCCCATGTTCATGTTATTTCCACAATTGTTTACTGGAATATTTTAAAAAACGATTTATAGCTTTTCCTGAACTAATAAAAGTCACACATGTATTCTTTTTCTTAACACTTCTCAGATTTCAATGCTACAATAAAGGCTTAAAACTTGTTAAATTGTGTACTACTGAGATAAAAGGGAGCATTTTAAAAGAGGGGACACTATTGCAAAATGTCATGGAATTCTAATCTCGCTGGCTGTAGCACAGATCTTCATTGCAATCTAATTTGCAATCACAGGCAAATTTCTTTGGCCTTGGATAACCACAACCAAAGTCCAGTCATATCTCTGCTTCATACTCTAGCGGCAACAGAGATGGGAAGCAATTAAATAATTCTGATTTCCCCCCCCCCAAACTCTGTTGATGCCTGCAAGAACAGAAATGCCATGGACCACTGAGGCTGTTATTTGCTGCTCTGTCAATGTAGAGGAAGAGAAACTTGCCACGGCAAGTAGCAAGCGAAATGGGCAGCAATGGGTTTGAGAGAACTTAGAAATTTGGGTCCCACTGTGGACAGAAGCTGCTTCTTTGACCACATATAACAATCAAGCAGTGATTCAGGCAATGCCTGGAGCAAGTTCTGACAGAATTTCAGCCTTGCCTGTGCAGATTTGATGGTTTTCATGCAGAATTGTCCAATACAAAAAGCCCACGCTGTCAGAAACAGTTTTTAAATTCATTGAGCAGATAATAAAAGTTTTTGGTTTCACCTCAATATAGTACAGGTAGTCCTCGACTTACGACCACAATTGAGCCCAAGATTTGTTGCTAAGCGAGACATTTGTTAAGTGAGTTTTGCCCCGTTTTTTTCTTGCTACAGTTGTTACGTGAACCACTACAGTTATTAAATTAGTAACAGAGTTGTTAAGTGAATATGGCTTCCCCATTGACTTTGCTTGTCAGAAGGTTGCAAAAGGTGATCACATGAGTCCAGGACACTGCAAATGTCATAAATATGAGTCAGTTTCCAAGTGTCCGAATTTTGATCATGTGACCATGGGGATGCTGCAACAGTCATAAGTGGGAAAAATGGTCATGTCACTTTTTTCAGGGCTGTTGTAACTTTGAACAGTCACTAAGTGAACTGTTGTTAAGTCGAGAACTACCTGTATAATCATTCATAGGTGGTACAAATAAATTCATTTACTATTTTAAGGATCCAAGGCACCACAGAATTGGAAAGTCTTGATCTATAGTAAAATAGATGTATTCTTTGTATTTATGGAGATCTTTGTGTCTGTTCCCAAACACATTGAAATGGGGGTGGAACATAAAGAGACAGCAAATATATCATACATTCCTTAGCATAATCCAGTTCTGCCTTCTGCTCATGTATACACATGCACATAATAAACTTTCACCAATACCCTTTATGTGTAGTTATCAACACTCTAAGTAACTAGTCAAAGTGATTTTCTGACTTACTCTTTCAAATAGAAGTGCTCAGAATGAAATCTTATTTCTATCCTGAAACTAGAAAACTTTTTTCACATTTGCATTTTTTTTAAAAAAATCAGTGTAGTCTTCTTTCAAACAAAAACTGACCTATTTAAGATATGTGAAATTTTATTATCAGAAAACATTTTAAAGACAATATAACATAACAAGCCTAGAAAGAGCCATCCCTTTAAAGGGCAAAATCAGTATTTTTAAAGGTACAGGTTATGTTCACAACCCTTCTCACTCCTTGCATAATCAGACATGCAAAAATCTGAGCAAGCTTTCTTAACAAAACAACAGGAGGCTGTTCCATGGTTACCCCAATGCCTATTTATTTACATAGAACTGATTCATAGTGTACACATTATGATTGCAGGTGGGTCATCTCAGGTCTAATTCTTAAAATGTAACTTTTTTTTCTAGTGAGGAAATTCACCTAGGTTTTCTCTAAGAACTTATCATTAGGACCGCAGGGAAGGGGGCTTTCCCTCGTAATACAAGATGCGATTGTGGGAACCAGATCCACCCATAAGGTGAGATGCAAAGCACAAAAAGCTTCTTTCCATACTTTATACAGGTAGTCCTCATCTTATGACCACAGTCAAGGCCAAAACTTCTGTTGCTGAGCGAGAGAATTGTTATGCGAGTTTTTCCTCCATTTTACGACCTTTCTCACCACTGTTGTTAAGTGAATCACTGCAGTTAAGTTAGGAATGCAGCTGTTAAATGAATTGAGCTTCCCCATTAATGGACTTGGCTTGTCAAAGGGTCGCAAAAGGTGATTTTACACAACCCCAGGACACTCTATGAGTCAAGTTGCCAAGCGTCTGAAATTTGATCACATGCCGGGGATGCTGCCATGGTTTTAAGTGTGAAAAATGGTCAGAGGTCACTTTTTTCGGTGCCCTCGTAACTTCAGTCACTACATGAACTGCCGTAAGTCGAGGACTACCCCTACAAGTATGAGAGGGCGGCCTCTCTTCCGGACATTCTTATAAAAATAGTAATCATAAATACGCCAAATCCAGTCTAAACACCTGGCTGATTGGGTGACAAAAAGATTCAGTCAGGAAAGATGGGTGTTGAGAGGAGAAGCCCCGGGACCATCCCAGAGAGCAAGATTCCCAAGGAAGCCGGGCTGGACGGACGGGCTGGCTGGAGCTTCCCTCTCGTCAGCCCGTTTCCACGACGGCGGCTTCCCGCCAAGAGAGGCAAAGGGGCGAGCAGGTGGAGAGCGCTCCGCGCGCCTTCCGCCTCCCTGAGCTGGGCGGCCCAGAGGGAATCCCCGTTCTGACGCGCGAGGCGTCGCCGCTGGCGACAATCCCCAGAACTGAGATTACGCGCCAAGTTTACTAGCCCAGCCGGAATGCGGCGGGGGGGTGGGGGGGAGGGGAGGAAGACTGGGGAGGGCAGGGCTCCTCGCACGTCGTCCTCCCCAAGCGAGAGGAAGCGCGGGGGGCGCTAGGACCGGGGGAAACCCACTCAGGCGTGCACCGACTGACCGACCTCCTCCTCCTCCACTGCCGCCTCTTCCGAGCCACCAAGGAAGTCGGCTGCTGCGGTCATGATCGCCGACCAGTCCGGCAGGGATGCGGACGGGGGATCGCTCCCTTGGCAAGCCTCGGCCGGACCTTCCGTAACCCCAGATCACCCGGTTCTCTCTTCCCCGGGAAACAGGGCAGGCCCGCCCGCTCCCCCTTCCGAGCGTGCTGCTGCTGGCCAAGCTGCAATCCCCTCCAAACCCCCCCCCCTTTACCTTGATTATTGCAGAGAGAAAAGCAAAAAAAAAGAAAGAAAAGGGGGGGGGGTAAACGTAGCCCCCTCTCCAGCCCCAATTACTTACATCATCGAACAAGGATCCGACGTTGGCTGTAACTAACAAGATCCCGGTGTTTGCGACAGCCCCTTTCATCGCCATGATAATTGGCCAAAAATAGTTCTGGGGGTGTGTATGTGTGTGTGTGTGTATAATATAATTGAAAGAGGCGATTGCGGCGCCTCGAAAAACTGCAAAATCTCCCGGCGAAGAAGAGTCCGGGGGCCAAAGGAGAAACGCGATCGGGAGTTCAAGGGAAGTTCAGCGGCGGGCTCGGGAGTCTTAGGCGGCCAAATGGAGTTTTCCTTTCCCCTCTTTTTTTCCCCCTTCTTCTCCGGGCGTCTCCCGCTTACGGGTTTCGCGATCCGCGGTGCCCCCAAAGGAGGGAAGGGACCTCCGAAGTCTCCCACCGGGGGCAACGATGCAAGCATCAGTGCTGAGCCCCCGGGCTCATGGTTGCTTGCCGCCTCTTCTTCCCTCCTCTGCGCGGCTTTCTTCCCCGGGGCAGGATGAGACTTCGCGCTTAGATTTTCACCTTCGCAGCCATTAGGTTCCTGTTTGGGAAGTTCCTCCTGCTGCCGCCGCCGCTAGCGGTGGCTAGATCCTGGTGCATGGCAAGGAGGAAAAGCGAAAGGGGGGTTGGGGGGTGGTGGTGAACGAATTCAGCGAAAACTCTCGGCCGCGGGAAAGGGAGGGCGCTCCAGAGGCGGCTTCCAGCGTCCTTGGTTGCGGAGCGGAGCGGGCCGAACAACCCCAAGCCAATCCCTTCGGCAGGAGAGCCACCCGCCTCCTCTCCGACTTCCCCGCATCTGCCTGAAATAACAGAAAGAGGGGCGAGCGGCACCGCCACTAGATCGCTGCACTCCCCTGACGTCACGAGCCTGACACGCTTCGTCTTAAAAGGGCAACGCCGCCCCGCTCCGAGAGTCCCGCGGGGTGGAGTGGGGGGGCGAGCGGAAACGGGACTCATCCCGGCCAGCCTTCCAGCCTGGTTTCTTGAAGTAAAGAGCCGAGGGAGATGGCCGCAACGTGCCTGGAAGGGGTGGAGTGGGGGGGGGGGGGGGGGATGTGATAAGGGAGGGAGGTCAGTTTGCCTGGCGGAAAAATACAGATTTTTATTTTATTTTATTTTTATTTTGCAAAGGCTGGCTTGGGTCGCGCGCGCCCCGGGAATCGTCGAATTGCGCAACGGGCGAGGATGTGAAACTGGCATTTGAATCGCGCAACACGCTTGACAATTGCTATGCACCCACCGTGTGTTTTCATAGATAGAACGTGCTATAAATTAACTTCCGGTCTCCCTGGACAATAGGTGTTAATCTCTGGGGGTCAGTTTATTGAATGAGCATCTCCTTCAGGCTGTGAGAATGCTGCTCTGCTATTAAGGTCAAGAAATTGCCTCAAGGTTTAGGCTGGTTCCTTGTAACTGTAGCCTCTGCTAACTCTTCAGGGTTAACAGAAAAATGCCCTTTTCTGTTGCTGGTGGGTAAATAAGACATCATTGCAAAGATCTTGGGAACAGAGGGGTGGATTGTAGCCATAGCACTCTAAACGGTTTACAGAGTCAGTGTCTTGCCCCTGACAATCTGGGTCTTCATTTTACCGACCTTGGATGAATGGAAGGCTGAGTCAACCTTGAGCCGGTCAGAATCGAACTGCCGAATTGCTGGCAGCCGGCAGTCAGCAGAAGTAGCCTGCGGTACTGCATTCTAACCACTGTGCCATCATGGCTCATTTAATATGTGCCTATACAAAATAATAATACTAAGCTTCCAAATCCTGACCCCCAAGGAAAGGTGGATGCACACTTTCTGTTGCATACTGACTTGTGCACAGTTGGGTCCAAGTGAACATGGAAATGATGGAAATCCTACCTTCCATTTTTCTATGGAAGCTCTACATGCCAAACAAAAACATGCCAAACAAAAAATTACATCTAAACCTGTGATCCGTTCTGTGAACTTTGGCCAAGGACTTTGAACTTTGCAATACTTTTCAATAAAGCTCACAGCTACTGATAATTAATGGTTTCAGTGTATTGTTTATTAACCAAAGGACCGTATCAATTGATAATTAGTACTCAAACTTAAGGTAAGTTTCAACTATCCTAAGAAAATATCTATAATCTTTGAGAAAGAAAAACAATAACCAGCAAATAATCTGGTGACATATTCATAAATTCATAAATTTCAGACTGCCTGTAAACTAGTCTCCTAAGAAAAATCTGTGTTTAAAATACATATAAGAAGATTTCATTCGCATCTATAATTTAATTCTGTTAAAAAAAACTACTGAAGTCTATCACCTATGCAAAACTCGGATGCAAATTGAGTACAGTGTACAGAATCCAACTAGCTTCTTATTTGCTTTTGCTGATAAAATTCTGCATCTGATTTATAGATGAAAGATTCTATCACTCCACAAATGATGAGTGGTGCGGCACAAAATCCTCAATCAGTTCATATTTTAAATTTAACGGATAAACAGCTGGATGTGGCCAGTCATAGCAGCAATTTGCTTTCACAAGTATTTACAATGGATAAATCTCTAATTAGAAATCTGGGTGGATTTATGCAAATCTCATAGATGTCTGCCAACAGTTGGATTGTGTGGGTGCTGTATTTTGAAGCGAACTTGGCTTTACAGGGCAGCTCTCTAACTAACAGTCTTAGGCCTTTTGATTCACACTCTGAAGCAGTGTGGTCATTTGAAACTTGCCAGCCATGTCTTAAACTATCCACAAGATGGCATCAATACAGATAAACAGATAAAACTAATCATCCTAGCTTTACAGAAATCTGTCCCAAGATTCACCTGTGATGGACATATCAGGTGAATGAATTGTATTAATCTCCAGAAACCAGAAAGTGCCTTTTGAGAATTACAGCTTTTTTGTTATATGGGTCCTTGACCTAGTCCTTGACCTATGACCACCCAACATTTCTGTTGCTAAATGAGACATTTGTTAAGTGAGTTTTGCAATCTTTTTACAATCTTTCTTACCACAGTTTAGTGAATCACTGCAATTATTAAGTTTGTGAATCTGGCTTCCCCATTGATTTTGCTTGTCAGAAGATTGCAAAGGGGGATCACATGACCCTGGGACACTGCAACCGTCATAAGTATGAGTCAATTGCCAAGCCTCTGAATTTTGATAAAATTGATAACCATGGGGATGGTGCAACAGTTGTAAGTGTGAAAAATGGTCATAAGTCACTTTTTTCAGTGCCATTGTAACTTCGAATGTTCATTAAATGAACTGTTGTAAGTCAAGGACTACCTGTACAGTGTTTTGTATAGAGAACGAACAGTCCAAATGATCTTGAGATGTATCATTTGTTGAAGGCAAGTTTTTCAGATATAATTTTGACCAATGAATTCCACTTTTTGTCAATTTTCTTGTTTATGTGGATCTGTTCAGCAGTTAAGAGACATATAAAGTTTTACTGTAACTGGGAACCAACAATGCAGGATTTTTAAAACATAGCCTAGGGATATTTTTACAACTAATGTTCATTCTGGCCATTCCTGCTCATTCCCCACTTCACCCCCATGCACACAGCAGAGCAATAATCAGAAAATTAATAAGCATTTTAAAAAATAATTAGTATCTAACCTTATCTGTCATTCAATAAAAGCAAAAATGTTTTAAGAGTTTAGTTTTATGTTTATTATATTTTTCCTGAATTGCATTAGAAATCTGTTTTAAATTCTATGCCTGACTGTGCTATTAGTGTAGAGTACACTAGATGATGGTGGTGAGGTGATTATGATACCATGTTCTTGCTTCAGAAACTCAGGAGGAGTTCATATGTTTGTGTTCCTCCTTCTCCTCTTCTAATTTTTTGTTCTACAAAAGAAAATTATTAAGGAAGATAATATAAAACATATAAAGGTTCAGAACCAATGTACTGTATATGTAACAATCATCATGGAAATGTAGGATTTAAAAGTATCCTTTTTCATATTTCAGATAGATAGATACTTAGCTAGATAGATAGACAGACAGAGAGCTTAGACAGATAGAACATGCAAATATTAAAATTATAGAAAAAAGCAATCTAGCTGGTTATATTTCTATAAATTTGAATATTGTGCTTTTGATAGATTTCCCCTAAAACATATTGAGATGACATGAATGCTACAAGCTAGTGAAACTTTTGAAGCGGATAATTTGGGGGAAAGATTGTCACATCATTTTAAGGTATCAAGTAATGCAAAATCTCCCATATTCTTATTACCTATTGAATGTATTCACATTTGATGTCACCTTTATTATCCTTATTACTTTAATTATTTAATTAGAAGCTGTTTCATACTGACTAAATTGTTAATTAATATCAACAGAGATCTTGAATCTGGTGAAATGATTTATGCTAAGATCCTATTTCAACTTTCTGGTCCACTGAATTTAATAGAGCTTATGCCTCTTAGAAGATATACACAGGAATAGTAGATATTATTGTAATAAAAGCTTTTCAGTTAAAAAAATGGAGCCAACATCAGATTCCAACAAACTTCAAACATAATTTCTTTTAGAATCAATAATTGTACTCCAAGGAATTCATAGAGTGATTGCTTCAATCAAAATATTCCACATTAATTTTATTTTGTGCTTCTTTTAAATTTACTTTTCTGATTCCATACTCCATCAGATGGAAAAACATTAGCATCAGTGCCTGTTGATTGGTTCTTCAATCATTCCCTTCTGTCTGACTGTGATTAAAAAGAACTGAACCTCGCACATGTACTCCTGTTTGCTATAAATAATCTATTTTTTAAAAAAATCACTTTTCCTCAATGTGATGCCTTTCAGAAATATGTTATTAAAATAAAGAGACAGGCAGAGATGGGAATTTATAAATTTAATTAAGGAATGCCTGTCATTCTCCCATAATTCTCATTGGAAAAATAGGATGAAATATCATGCTTAATGTTTTAAAACCATTTTCATAGATCGGAGGGGTCAAACTGGCAGCCTGCGGGCCGGATGCATTGCACCCTGGCCATACCACCCCTGGTTTAGGAAAGGGGGGGAAAGTCGCTATATGTGACATGATGACAATATGACATCACAAGTTTGACACCTATGCTGTAGATGATCAAGATAAGAGTCTAAGTGAGAAGCACAAGCATGGTTCCTCTGGCTATGGACAGGATGGATTTCCTGCATTTTTTTTTTCATGATATGCTACTATTAAAATCTAAGGGAGAGAACCAATCGAATTTCAGCCAAGAAGTACAGGTAGTCCTCAACTTACAACCTCAATTGAATTTCCAAATTGAGCCCAAAATTGCTGTTGCTACGTGAAACAGTTGTTAAGTGAATTTTGCCCCATTTTACTACCTTTCTTGCCACAGTTGTTAAGTGAATCACTGCAGTTGTTAATAACACGGTTGTTAAGTGAATCTGGCTTCCCCATTGATTTGGTTGTCAGAAGTTGTCAAAAGAGGATCACATGACCCTGGGATATCACAACAGTCATAAATATGAGTCGTTCTGCCAAGTCTCTGAATTTTGATCACAAGACCATGGGGATGCTGCAATGGTTGTAATGTGAAAAATGGTCACAGGTAGCTTTTTCCAGTTGTTGAAACTTTGAACAGTCATTAAATGGACTGTTGTAATTCGAGGACTACCTGTATTTCCACAACAATGGTGATGCAGCTAAGAAGCAGCTCCTCCTGGTTTTAATCCCTCTTACCTCCCATAGCGTTGGGCGCAAGAAACCAGAATGACACCATGAGCTGATTAGAGTTAATTCTTTATCATTGCTAACTTTTACACAAGAATCTCACAGACTGACTGCATTCTCTTGAGAATAGCTTCAGGAAACCAGGATCACATCTGCGTCATTTCCTGCCATGCAAAGGCCTCTAAACTTGC